ACTTAAAAAAACTCACTTTAAAAAGAAATATCTGTAATCATAGCATTACGTTCAGGAGACATTCTATTAAACAGGACAATAATCAAATCCACAGTTTGACAATAGTCAAACTGTGGATTTGATTATGATCAACATTCTTATTGAGGAAATGGAAAAAACGCAAACTAAATTTAGCCATTTTTCAATGTATTTTATCGGTATTCGAATCAAAATAATCTGTATTAATTTATAGGACAAAGTATAAATCAGTGATATATGTCTTTCTTAGAATAGTTGAGATGTTATAGAAATATAAAATATCTAAGTATGTAATTAAGTTAGAAGCTCAGACGGAACTAACGTGGTCACTATTGTGATCCTGAGCTCCTAAATAGATAATGAAAAAAAAAAACAATATACATAATTATTTTCGGTTGGCACCAAACACGTGTCGTAAAACGCCTCCTGATTTTGCCTCCGGTCAACTTTTATATCTGTATAAAGTTTCTCGCGAGTTTTAGAACAGGAAATACCTTCTTATATGTGCTTTTGTTTTATGGCCGGAACAAAGGCACGCCGCAGAGATCTTCGCCAAGATTTAGATTTTATTGACGCACATAAACGCGAGTGAAGAGTATTCAATTCGTCAGTTGTATTTCAATGGAAGATTCTAGAAATTAATATTCAATCTAGTATGAATAGCGATATTTCATTATTTATTCATATTAACTTAAAATTTAACTTATTTGCGTCGTGATGATTCGTCCAACCGTGATATCTTTGTTGGAAACTGTTTTATATATCTTTTTTATTGTCTATGTTTATTTATAATAACTATATTATTTTATATATATGACATTCTCTTTGCTTGTCTCTCTTTGCTTGTCTGTAATCTCCTTCCTTTAGAATCTTACTAATATTATAAACACGAAAGTTTGTGTGTATTGCTGGATGTTTGGACAAACGAATTTTGATAAAACTTTACACTAATATAGCTTATACATCAGAATAATACATAGGGTTTAATTTAAAAAGATATTTTGAAATATTGTGAAATGTAGTCATAAATTTCAAGTACATGTGATGCAGAAAAAGTGGCGCGGGTCTGCTAGTATAAGCATAATCCCCAAACACATATATTATAACTTGATTTTTTTTTTCATACTTATTAGGATGCATAACATTTATTCATTCATAATTTAACAGATGCTCTTGTCGGTGGAGCTCTTGCTATTGTCCACGATCTTTTTATTTGTTGATACTACACGACTCAAACTTTTTCCCCAATCTGCTTGATATAGTTGTGTCTTGGTCTGCCCCTTCCTCTCTTTCCTTCGCTAATATTATTAACAAGTTTGTCGTGTCAAGTGCTCCAACATTTTGCACCGTCTATTCTCAGTCTCTTTTCTTTAACCCTTTGCAGAAGTTCTTCATTTCTTATTTTTCTTTCCAGCTAATTCTTTCCATCCTTAGCATAACATTAAGTAGTCGAATAAAATAGATAGCAGTGCGTGCTATCGCAAAAGTGTACGCGGTCTAATAAAATTCAATTAAGGCCGCCATTACTTTGAGCGAGTTGTGTTGTACGTTATCGACACTATCTGTACCATCTCAATTTATGTGGAATACTCCAATTTCCGCGTACAAAGAAGTCAAACGAAAATAACCAGACAAGACATCGTCTGGTCTCGGTGTGCTGCAGACTGACTTTGTAACCGAGATATCGACGTAATGGAATGACGAATTCCAAATTTAAACTTTTCTATTATATTTTGTATTTATATACGATATATGACGACCTCGATGGTTTAGTGATTTAGAACACCGCATTATTTCCGATGGTCGCGGGTTCGTTTCGACGCACGGTACACTCGTTTGTATTCATGAGTATGATTATTGATATTGGTCTGTTTTTTTTCTATGTACCTACAATATATATTTACAAATATATATATGTACTAACTTATTAACTAAAGAAACTTATTATAAATTTTGTAAATTTAATATTGTAATGGGTGAAAACTGTGATCGGTACAGCTTATGCTGTAAATAATATAATTGACGCAGTGGAGTAACCTGAAACAGTCATGCTCGCTATAAATTTCAAACTTGTGGCGGCGTGGTGGGGTCGACTAATATGATTGAGTATGAATTCATACTCGTGAACGGGTGCTGCTTGTGAGGTGATCTGTTCAGGTTCTTATTATTTTTTGTTCTTTGCGATAGCATATGCTGCTGGTCACTCTATTCTCCCAAATTTGAAGTTAAATAACTGTATACTATTATAAACATGTTCCACTATTATTTGAAAAAATATGAGCTGAGTTTCTTGTCGGTTCTTCTCATCTCGATACCATTCCGAACTGACGGTAGATTTGACATATTATAAGAGTCTGTAATAGACCTACATGAATAAAGATATATATATATTTCTATCTTTGTCTAGTACCCATAAAACGAACTCTGCTTAACTTGGGACTAAATGGTGCTGTATGAATTCTCCAGTGACATTATTTTTTTTATTTACAATAATAACACCCAGTTTCTTGCTCATTCTTCTTGTGATGAGACAGCTTTCCGAATGAGCGGTAGATTAAAAGAAGGATAAATGTGACTATTTAAAAGTGCTTGAATTGAGTTTATTTGAATAAAGGATATTCTATTCTATTTTAATACGTACAGTAATATTTATATTAATTTTATTATTTTTTGATGCAAGTACTGTATATACTTTCATGTATATTTAGTGAAAAACTATTAACTTGAAATTACAAACGGTCACTTCAATTCTATTTGTTTGTATAGGTTTATCTTATATATAAAATTCTCATGTCACAGTTTTCGTTCCCATACTCCTCCGAAACGGCTTGACCGATTCTCATGAAATTTTGTGAGCGTATTGAGTAGGTCTGAGAATCGGCCAACATTTATTTTTCATCCCCCTAAATGTTAGGGGTAGTCCACCCCTATTTTTTTTTATTTTAAGGCAAAACAACGTTTGCCGGGACAGCTAGTAGTTGTATATTTTTAACGTCAGCGAAACACTTCTAGAAATTGCGTGATATTTGATTCTTACGTCTGCGTTACAGCAAATACGAGTAGACGTCGATGAAATTCATCCGGCAATGCTGTCGCAAATGAAATTCCATTATGGTCAAATAATTTCCAATCTACTGCATCTTAGACCAGATCTGTAAGGATATCTAATCTAATTTAGATCGCTATAAACATTTCACGTCGTCTGCAAAGAGGATTTGAAATATGGCCGCCGTAAACGTGGAATTATATCCACTGATACTTTCAGAGCGTTTCAGAAAGAAGGGATTATGAAAGTTACCGTTTCACAAGATTAATTTTATGTCGCTAATTAAAAACTATTTCAAACCAAAACTAGTCAGCAGCGGCTTCGTAAGAACAGAGAAAATATCATTAGTGTTACATGAAAGTTTGTAGAGGGAATTACTTCTCAAGTAAGAGATAAAATTAATTATAAAAATCAAAAATAGTGTACTCGATGCGCTGATGCTATACAGACAAATTAATATTATAAAGAGGAAAGATTTGTATGTTTGTGTTAAACCGTAAATAAAAAAATCTCACCGTTTTTCATGGGTGATAATGGAATGGAGCATCAATATACGTTAATGTTTATGCAGGCGAAGCACCAGTGGAGGATAATAAGATGAGCATGAGGTTAAGTCAAATAGCCTATTAATAAATTCAATAAGAATTTATCATAACCATCAGGTTTCCAGCGGGAACCTCATGGAGCCTTGCGCATTAGGCTTGCTAGCAAAGAGGTCATCAGTTCACATTACACGTCCTTACCCTCTAATCTTTCACCATTAGAATGGGATGGGAGATAACGTAGGCTTTGTTTATTACCTAAAAATTAGGAAACTCTACAAAAACTTCTACAATGTAAACAAAGGTGGAAATTAGTCAAAATATATTTCATGCCATGCGCTGCAGAAATGTCCGTCAGTGCAAAGTCGGGACGGGCCGCAAGTATTTTATAAATCAGTAGTAAACTCATCAATATTTATTTACACTTCCCAGAATAGTAGAACGCAATCATTCACAATTTCTACAAAACCAATTCGTTTATTGCGATCCATTTTGTAGGAGTCGCCATCAATCATGCTGTAGTCACTACGAACAGCGTTTCATCAAAAGCAATTATCATTTTGAAGTTAATTAGTACCATGCGGGTGGCCATATTGGAGTCTCCCACAGTGTTGCTACCCTAATGGTTTTACCACCAAAACAGAAGAATTTCAACCTATAAAAAATCTAATAAAATTAATCAAATTATATTTATATATTAATAATATTTTACTGGATAAATTAAACTTTTAACACAACAGTTTACTTGTAAAATCGTTCATCATCATTACCTTGCCCAAATCCCATTGTTTGTGGTCGGTACAGTATGATATCTTCTTCCACTGATCCCTATCAGCCATCATATCTGAACATACTCTCCTTTTATTCATATCATCTGTCACACAATCCATCCATATTTTTTTGGTCGTCCATCCACTACTTATAAAATCGTTATTAGCTAAATTTTGCAATCTCGTTTAATTAGGTAATGAATTGTTTATAATAATAATCATCTCGATATCATTTGACGGTGATTTGATATCATAAGAGTCTGTAATAGACCTACATGAATAAAGATATTTTGAATTTGAATTTACATTTTAATTGAAATATCGTGAAATTGTAATAATTAATAATAATTTTGTGATTAATTTATTTTAAATTATTTGATCCCTTAAAGTGCACCAGCTAGAGAATTGGTTCAAATTTTGTTGGCAACACTGAATACACGAATCACTTTTCATAAACAAACTACGTTTAAATTGTTTTAATTTGGTCGTTTTCATTAATTATTACAATTAGTGTTAAGTGAATTTGAGTTCGGTATTTTCTATTCTTCAAAGTACACTTCAAAGTACACCATTCTATTGTCATCAATTAAAAAAAATACAAATTTGTTATCTTTCTTTTCACAGACGATACGGCATGGTGGACAAGAGATTTTGCGTCGAAGGAGGATCTCGGTGTGCGAAAGGAGAAGGACTATTCGTGTTCGCGGCTGAAGGAGGGAGAGAGCTAACTGATCTGCTGAATGTCTACAGCCATGATGCGCAGTCTAGACTCAGCATAGTTTCAAGAAGTGGTTCAGGTAAGTCTATTGCTAATACTTGATCTTTACTACTCGTAATTGTTAATGTATACTCCTTTATATCAAATTAGATGTGCCTGCTGTTTCACCCCCGTGAATTTATTCTGTTTTATTTTGTTGTATAAGCTATATTATTGTAAAGTTTCATTGAAATCCAGCCAGTAGTTTTTGCATGAAAGAGTAACAAATATCCATGCCTCCATCCACACTTTGAAACTTCCGCGATTATGTTATATAATATGTTAGTAATAAATAATGTGATATCTCAGGACAGTTCACAATCAGAGCTACTAGCTATTATGGGTACTGGACAACTGACATAAATATATAGATACATTTTTTTAATACATACATAATATGCATAGAAAACACCCAGACCCCGATACTAATAATTATAATAATCATATATTGTTCGAGAAGTCGAACGCGACCATCGGAAATATGAAAGAAAAGAAAGAAAATATTTATAATAGTTATCTAGTATCCATAACACAAGCTCTGCTTAGCTTGGGACTAGAAGTCGCTGCGTGAATTATCCATGATTATTATTAATATTAATATTTTAAAACAAAAAACGTATTTTTCCGCAGTTCTGGAGAAACGTTTCTCTGACACCAGTTCCTGCATTGACGAGTGCTTTAACACATCTCTGAGGTCGGTCTCCCCATCCTGGGCGCCACCAGCGAGTCAAACTATGCACTGCCTCTCAGATCTCGACACAAGTCTGGACAGCAACGGAGAGGAAAACTTCAGGAGACCAACGTCACTACCACGATGTGCCAGTTGTATTGGGAAGATCAGTCATTTGACCAGGTAAAAACATAAATATTTTAAAAGTATCTGCATTCTAGACTTTATCTGCATTATAATAGTAAACCAATATCCTTCACCACAGTATTTGCTATATAAAAATACTTACTATGACGGCCTCGTTGATTGAACACACCACTTTACTTCTCATTTTGTTTCCCAACAGGCAAACGCCTGTTCGATTCCTTGTACGGTACTAACATGTTATTATTATTATTACTACTAAGTGGTAACAAACTTTTACATAAATCTTACAGTCATACAATGTGTTAATACTCCTTTTTATTCCTAGAATGTCAAACACCAACTTAGTGTCTAAATGAAGGGCATTCTTTAAGTCCCCTATAATAGAATTAAAGCCATTGCTACATCTACTTGAAGACCTCCATTATAATTTAAGTATTGTGATTTATTTTCCAGATCATCTACTATGGGAACACCTGGCTCCCTCATGTCTCCTGTCTGGACCATGGAAAATATCATTGAAAAGCGCTCTGATTCAGATCGAGCGTCTATATACTCCAGATCAAGCGGCAGCGCATCAGAATACAGTGTACCTCGCAGTGCGTGTCATTTAGACAAGAGTTTCGACTCGAAACGTGCTAGCCCTGTTGCCTGCTGTACTCCAACTATACCTGCAAAGACCGGCAATGCTTGTCACTGCTGGCAGCAACCAAAACCATGCTGCTGTAGAAAGAAATCATTCAGTGGGCCATACGAAAATTATGACGTACCAAAAACGCCCATGCCCCTAATTCAGGTTTGTTATTTACTAATTAACCTTTCCAAGCTCCGTGATATAATCAAATTAAAACTTTGTCTTGATCTCCGCTTAATTATATCTACTTGTTTGACAGGCTTATTTCTCGAATTTCTCATTGAATTTGATCAAATTCATAGTCAAATTGAACGAATATTTTCATAGTTTCTAAGAAATTTAATTAAATTCCAAACGAGTCCGGTTCGCTGGTACTTTTGCTGCTTCTAATTATTAGCAAAATTCAAAATATTTGTTGTATTAAATAAATGTATTTATTCTAGGAACATCCAATAGACAGCAGCACAGATGCTTCAAGCCTTTACGATACGCCAAAGAAATTAAAATGTCTCATTAACGGTCAATCGTGCAGTTGTAAACACATTGTGAATGAGACCAAAAATGATGACACCAACCAAACAATTGAGAATAACAACGCATGTGATACTAGTGTTAATAATAATGATACGTCCGTAGAATCACATTCTAATTACGTAAACGTTACCCCTGTTACCAAAAAGGCATCGCCCCAAATCGATTTTGGAAATTATGCTAATGTAGATCTAACGGCTACTTTAGAGAAGTTCGAAAGTTCATTACAGATTCTTCGAAGCGCTGGATTCAGTCCAGAAGAATTAGACGCTTTAGAAGATATCCCTGAACATGACGACGACATTTCTGCAGCAACAACAAATACAGTACATCCATCAACCGAATGTTGTAATGATCATGGTAATTATATGCATATGGAACCATTAGAAAATAGCAGTTCTAGTAACAGCAATAAGAATTACTCTGACAATATCAGTAGGATCAGTCACGTATCTGATCCCACACAGCATTCAGACTCCATGAGTACTATAAGTACGAGGCGGTCTAGTTCTGCAGATTTCACAAAAAGACACGAAGACGACTATGGAATTCACAGTCAACTTTGTTTTACACCAACAGTGCTAAGGAAAGCATCTAAAAATGAATGCATTAATGAAGGTACTCTAAAAAAGCCATTAGAAATCATAGAACCAGCAGATAAAACATTTAAAGTACCAGAATTGAAATTTGAAAATATGTTGGTTGCAAGAATTCGTGATGTTGTGAAGATTAGAAGATCCTCTAGTGTACCGAGTAAATCTGATAAAAATAGAGACTCATCGAGTTCCAATGATTCAGGGGTATCTACAGGGTCATTGAAGCACCATAGAGGTGACTTTAATGAGTTCGAAATGCCCATAACCAATTCGAAATCAAGTAAAAAACATATAAAGTGCAACAAGCAGATGAGAATGTCCTTGACTCCAGTGCACACGCCGTTTCCAAAGTCAAACTCATCAGATCCATTAAAAAACCTAACGTTTCAATTCGAGGAGGTGTCAGCTTTGACCAAATCTAATTCCTGTGATGTTGACACGTTAAGAAGGCGGAAGAGACATACTTGTAAGTTGAATTTTTAATATAATATTTTCTCTTTCAAATCTATTTTGAGAGCCTGAATTTCAGCTCTTTTTAACTCTATTCAAATTAGTGCTAGCTGATAGGTTGTATTCAAAGATTTCAGTTTAAAAATGTAAAACAATCAAATTATTTAAAAGAGCAACAAACGAGGTTTTTGCTTAATTCTTCTTGTGATGAGACAGATTTCCGAATGAGCGGTAGATTAAAAAAATAAGTATGACTATTCAAATGTACTTGAATGTAAGATTAATTGAATTAAGTATTTTCTATTCTATGTTTAATTGGTCGCAGGTTCGATTCCTCGCACGATACAAACATTCATGAAAATGATTGGTTTTATCGGTATCGCTGGATAGTTTTCTATGTAAATACAAAAAAAATCTAAGTATTCATACTAGTTGTCTAGTATTAATAATTACCAGTAATAGTCTAACACAAGCTCTGCTTAGCTTATGAGATTAGATGGCGCTGTGTGTATTGTCAATATATATTAATATAAACCGTTGACACTTCCACCAGATGAATCATCTACGTCATTCTCGTCATCATTCCAGAATGTTCTTTATATTTCCAGTGGATCCAGACATCACAGCGCGCCACAGTCAACTAACCAACAAGAGTACATCCAGTGGCGCCTCCGATACATCTGATTACATGGAATCATTATCAGTATCATCGTTCAGCTCCTGTGACGTCTCTGCAGATAGACACGTAACCAGGCCAAGATCCGGCAAGGAATATGCCAGTATAGACCGAGCGGCATTAGCCAACGCGTGCGATGGCAACTGATTGCCACTAATGCCAACAGCATTGTCATTTATGAAATAAATTTTGTAGCTACCATGATATTTATATGTTTTATTTGAAGTCATACTACGTAATTCCCGCGTAATAAGTCATTACTTAGTACGCATGCGCGAATATCATAACCAACAAATATTGAATTGAAAAAAGGAGCGACGTATTTCTCTTCTGTAATTAATTCTGTAATTGAATTAATTGATTGAAATAAAATTTTCTATGATATGCAACAAAACAAATTCATAAGATCTTAAAAAAAACTGCCTTTTTGAAAATATCAATGATGCCATAAAGCCGCTTTGAAGTTACTTTTTTATAGAAATCTGGGTTAACTGTCATTGTTTGAAAAAATTTATATTCTGTAGCAATTTAATAATGAAAAAAAAGAAAAGTGCGTGAAAGCGTTTTATGGTCGATTTTACGCGCCAATTTTATTACCGCATCTACATAATTTTTTTTTGTGTTTGTTTTTCCCGTCTGAGTGAAAGGACTCAGCCCATACAGCTATTGTCTTCGGTAACATTCTTATAGTTAATTTCCTTCAAGTAATGCATCTACATAAGTAGTATTTTCCCTCCTTTATTTCTAAAATATAATATTATTATTAGGACGTAGGAAAATAAAATCGATACAGTCTAAAAGAGAATTATCCGCATTCAGAATAAACATAGACTGAATTGCTTCTAAGTATATTTTCATACTAGTACATATGATACAAAAATTGTAAGCGTAAACTTGATTTTCAAAATATTTGGAAAGTAAATCTTGGGTACTTTACAATAAAATTTTAATGACAGTTAATACATATTTTACCATGAGAAAGTAACAGAAACAAATAAACTATCACTTTAAATATTTTTCTTGTCATTAAGAACTTATGAGTTTCTAATTACAGAAAATAATAATTTAGATTCTTTATTTGTAAAAATGGCAACACTGGCATTAGTTTCAATACAATAATTGTTTCATTAAGAAAGTATACAAAAATGTATCATTATTTTTCATATTCAACTGAAGGACTTGTATCCAAGGTCATGAATAATGCATTATAAAAAAAATCATTATGAAATAGTGTGTAAATATTCTATGTAAATATTACTGAAGCACAATATAAGCATATGTTGTTCCTATGTACATATTATGACTAAATATAGTAGTAATTTAGTATTAGTGAAAACGAATTTAGTTGGTAGTAGTGTGCCAAAAATATTATAGCTGGCTATATTATAAAATTTACACTTACATGGTTTTGGGCTTTGAAATAATTAAGAAATGTAAAAATGTAATAGCTCGTAATTATTACATAGATCGAAATATAATTTAAATATGTTTTATTCATTTAATATATATGAATACGATAAATATACTTAATTATAAGTCTTTTACAATTAAAATTACCTGTGTAATATGTAACGATAAAGTAGATTACAAATGTAATACTTTGGTAATAACTTGTAGGTACATAAATTATTTGTGCCTTTTGTAATATATGTTGAATTGAGTGCGTTTTGTTTTATCTAATTCTTGCTTAAAACAATTAAACGATTTATCTACTGAAATAATTTAACGAAATGAGTATGTACTTCATATTTTGTATAAAATTATAATTAATTAATTATGTATAACATGTAGTAAGTATATAAAATTATACTTGATATATAATCTACAAATAAATACAAACTGTCACCTAAATGCAATTTATAAGCAATAGTCAGATTCAAAAAAACAAATTACATAAGTACATATTTTGTAATACTTTTCGTAATTCATTAATAATAATAATAAATAAATGTTTGCGTAAAAAATAAAATAAATCGTTAAATTACGTCCTGCCAAATATATAATACGTAGATTTTACATGTAAACAATATGTACTTGTATTTTAAGATTCGGACGAAGTATTTTAAGTGTGCGACTGTGTTTACTTAATCACAATTAAATATATATAGCAACACCTATTTATATTATATATACTATCCTACCAAATATATTAAAATAAACGCTATTGAAATCCAATTATATAATTCATGTATTTCAAGGACAAGGAACCTATTAGAATATTGTTTTTGTTGAATATTTTATAACAAAATACCTTTAGTGTTGTGTAAAAAAGTATATTTTAAATCTGTTTAAAATATATTTTTTATTTAACATTAAAGTTATTTTAGCCGCGTTTTGCACGACCCGATCTGTAAGCATGCTTAATTTGGGTGGTGAAATGTAGTTATATTGCTAAAACAAAATTTGTTTTTTTATTTAAAAAATATTGTACTTATTTATGATAATTGTACCGTTTTAAATATTACAACAGTAACATAACCTTTTTTACAAGTTTTAACATAATTTGTTTTACAATAATTATATTTGTCTGTTTAAAAACAAACTACTAGTGCAGTGAATAGTTTTTATCTAGTCAACGGTGAGTGATGTTTGCAATGGACTTTTTATAACAAACTAACATTTACGGTTTATTAAAAATAAAAAAGTTATGTAATAGACATGTACGTAGAATAATAGTGCATATATTACGATATAAGTGCGTTGTGTTGGTTATAATACACGACGCGTAATTTCTACCCGTTCTGAATCGAGCGAGCGAGGGCGTAATAGAGCGGAGTGTGTTAAATACGCACGTATGTCGTACGTTTTTCAACACACTTGATTTTATATATATTTTTCTATTAAACTGTGATGAAGACTGTTGCTTTCCCGCCATTTTACTTTTTTAAATCTGCCCATCCTACTTGCTATCGCCGCACAGCGGTAAATTCGAAATTTGAAAAGATATATTGCAGTTATGGAATATATGTAACGCCTGTATGCTGCTTTATATATAGAAAACCGGTGAAATTTGATTCATTTTAGAAGCAAGTGTGTTGAAAATTCTCTATCGTAATTATGTACAATTAAAAAAATAGTTTTATCTATATGTTTTATGTAATTTTCACTTCTATTCTTAATTTGAAATACAGTTTTAATTTTAAATTATAGAATACAATGTTTAGAATTATTTTTTACCGTTTGTTTATTCTTAATTTGAAACAGAGTTTTAAATTATAGATTAACAATATTTTCATTGCAGACGTCACTTTATTCGGTTTTGGTTTACCTGCAGCATGTTGAAGGTATATAAAGCACGTTAGTGTATAGGTTTTGTGTGTAAAGTCAACTATTTTCATACAACTTTTATGTTGCGATTCATATTACATACATATTGTAACATTTGTAATATTATATTGCAATCGAGAGAATGGAAATATAGTGCATTTCAAAGAAAACTGTTCTTTTTTTTTCTATTTACCTACCTAAATACATTCAGAGACAAAATAGTCACTCAGGCAGTCGCTAACTCTGCCAAAAGCGTATGCTATTAGACCAGTGTTTCCCAAGCTTTTTAGTACCATCCTTCCCCACCTTGTAAACTCCTAATACCATTGTGCTACATACATCTTAATAATATTATAAACGCGAAAGTTTGTAAGTATGGATATTTGTTGCTCTTCCACGCTACTGAACAGATATTGATGAAACTTTACAATAATATAGCTTATGCATTAGAATAACATATAGGCTATATTTTATATTGAAATTGAACGCGTGAAACCGCGAGAACGGCTAGTAATTTATAACATTAAAAAATTGAATTGTTCACTTAAGAAACTTTAATAATAGGTTTTATGAAGAAATTAATAGTGCTAGAATTCACATCATTATTGTAGAAAAAATCCGATATTTTAAAAATATATTAAAAGAAGGTAGTTTGTTTTTAGTACTAATGAAGTACCCAATGTAAAGGTTATTACAAATATTGTAAATAGCGCCATCTAGTATTTATAGACCAACCTACTACACTGACTTTGGTCTATAAATACGGAGGTCGGTAGTTGAATAATCCTCTTTCGTTGCTTGAGCCGCGGCATTCAGTCGACGAGCGCAGAGCGTGCCAGTTGTGTTTTGGATATTAAAGTGAATTGTATTAGCAATGAGTTTATCCCGGTCTTAGTTGGGCTTGGGGAGAAAGCTGCAAGTAATGAAGGTGAGTGTTAATGCATTCTAAAAGGGCGTTTAAACCTACTCCCGTGTCACAAGTCACGGGCGCTACTTGGGGTTTCCCTTGCGGTAGCCGGCTTCGAAGCCTCGGTCGTCCATCATAATTAGTGCTTCTTACAATAGGAAATTGTTAATGAAACAGTAAGTAAATCAAAACAGAATGAAAAATTTAAATACACGTTTCATATGGCCCAACTTGGCAGGAAACGCAGTACATGGCTGAATGTGGTCTTCGACAAGTGTCTGAGTGGCTGGACTATAATCTCCTAACATTAAACGCGTCTAAGACCCAGTATTTGTGTTTCCATAAAACAGCTGTATCTCGCCCACCTTCAAGTAAGTTCAATATTAAAATACACAAAAACTGTCTATCGCCTAATGGTACTTCCAACGCTTACTGTAATTGTGACATTATCAACAGGGTGGTCTCGCTGAGGTATCTTGGAATTGAACTGGACGAAAATTTAAATTTCAAGAAACATATATCAATTACCGCAAAAAGAGTTAGAAAATTAATGTACACAATGAAATTATTGAGAGTCATTTCAGACAACACTACTCTGAAATTGGTATACTTAGCGTTATGTCAGTCTTTAATAAATTATTGTCTACTAGCCTGGGGAGGTATTACGAAGTCCAATTTAATTCCCTTAGAAAGAGCTCAACGAGCTGTTCTGAAGGTTTCTCTAAAAAAACCGCGACTATTCGACACGATGCAATTGTATAAAGAGGCTGAGGTCCTGAGCGTGCGCAAATTGTTTGTAATGCGAGTTACTGTATACATGCACAAATATGTGAAGAGTCTACCAACATACAAAGATATATTAAAGAAGAGAATCTATAAAGCTCCTGTGTCTAAGGCTAAAACATCATTTGCTCAACGTCACAAAAAAAATTCTCTTTCCACACATATACAATCAAATTTGCAAACTAATTGATATGAAACACTCTCAGTTATCAGGTTTAAAAACACTCCTCAACAGTATACTGATGTCCTGGACATATGAGGACACTGAGAAAATACTAAAACCCGTAATATAAATTTAGACAATTCTGAAATATTCTAATGATTCTATATGAATTTACAACACTTCCAAATAACATTCTTACTCACTCAAACACA